GCACGGTAAACAGGAGGCTATCAGCGAGAAACGCAAAATTAAAATACAGACATAATTGCCCAGTGAAATTTTAACGATCATTTTGGCGCATAAAAACACGTAAGAATTGCAATTTAAGCCGTTATGGTATCTTCACAGGTTTTCAGTTCTAAAAACGTAGTTTCTTGTACTAACTAGTTGTCGGAAGAGCTATGCGTTGAAAATTTTAATATGTTATATCCAAAGCTGAAAATGTTTGAATTATAAAGCAACTTTGCAGCCTTAATGCCAAAAAAATCGTCGCTCCTCTGACGTAAGGGCGTGTCTTCATTTCTAGCCTTCATTTGAGAACCCTTCTGTTCATATGGCTACATGCTTTCCGGGGATCATATGGAAATACAGATACGGCCTTACGTCATAGGATCGACGATAAGAACTACACTGATTGCAACTCATTCTGAAAAGTTTCCCGTAAACTATATTTTCTTTTAAAAAAAAATTCAAATTTTTCGATTCAAGTTTGGGTAAATCACTTTTTTGGAAAATTTATATCCGAGGATATTCACATTATTGATCATTTATTCCAACCACTAAATAGGTATAACCACTATATAAAACCACTATAACATTTCACTTAGGAACTGAATACTAATAAAGTATAACTAGCCAATATGTTCAACTCGGTAGGTAATCACGCATGTTTTCTTTACAAAATATATGTGACATTTTAAATGAAGATGCTTTAATTTAGTCATTTATAATCCGTCAAAACCATCTCATTCCAATAGATCGATATGTCACAAGCCGGCAGCATGAACACGATAAAATTCAAACTGCCACCCACGCTCGAGCGAGCAGGCTCATTCACAGCCTCTGTAAATCGCGAGGTTCTAAGATTCCACCTCGACACTCCGTCGCGAAAACAGATTCTTATCCGCTATATTCCCCGCATTTAAAATTCCTAGGACATTTTTCGCGATGAGCGCGCGAAAACGGCTCAGAACTCGAAAGTTTGAATGAAAGCTGCTAATGGGCAAGTCCAGGAATTCCTTGACTGGGAGGGGCCTCGAGATAGGAATACATCGATGCCGTTTCTGGAACGCATCCAGATTATTCTACAAAGGCCACGCTGATGGCTCGCGGACTCGCCTTCGAATCGGAGGGTATGCAACTTTAGTTGCACTCCGCGATTTTCTAATGCGCCGCGCCGCGCCGCCGCGGTGCGGTAACTGATAATTGCAGGTTGCGTCTGCCTCACTGCGTGAACATAAGAAGGAAAGATTAAGTATGAGGTGCGTAAGTAGGAAGGCTTGTTAGGGTAGGGTAGGGAGTCAAATTAGTCGTTCGGTCTAATGTTTGATAGGACATTTAATTGAAACTCGACTTTTCATCCAGTTTTTAAAAGGATTGATTCACACATAAGTTAAAAGGAAGAAATCTTTTTGAATTGGACCAAATTAGACGTAAACCAACTTTTTTCACTTACAAAAACAATATATCTACCATTGATTTCCTTACACAAATTATGGCTTTTGGAATGATGACTCTCTACCGAGCGCGTCTAAATCAGGAGAGACACCTCAATGAAAGGACAAGGCTTTCAATTTTTCTTATCAAAGGTTTGTTGTGCTTAGATCTCTGCTAGAAAGTGCCGATCGTAAACCCTGCAAAGACAGTGAATTTTGAGCAAATTCGGAAAATCACAGTCTCTTTTAGAGAACTCTCCGCTACTATTGAGTAAATTTCATTCCCATGACTTTTTCGTGGTGTTCTCTGTGTTTTTCTGTGCTTAGAAAGAGGCAAATATATTTAAGATAATTTGAAATTAAGAGAAAAAAAAGAAGAAAAAAATTTATACGAGTATTTCGGGTACCTGAACGGAAACTTTGGTATTTCTTAGGAGCCGCTGCTCGAACGTGGAGCCAGTTTTTTCCAATTTTTCGTTCGATTTTTCCGGAAAATTGAAAAGCCAATTTTCCACACATACTACGCTGCTTAACATACGACAGTGCACGCGCGTTATGCGTAATTTTTACTTTTTTCCCGCCACACATGGCAATGCCAACAATGTATCTGTCCAGGTAAGTTAGTTCCCTGTTCTCAGCACTCGTGGCTCGGAGTGCAGTCGTCGCGGACAACATTGTATGCAGGCGACGCTGCCAAACCGTTCAGCAACCCTCCGATTCCTCCCATAAAAAGCACCGAGCTCGTCACGACTCGACACCACCGGTGAAGACCATGCACACCTGAATCTAGTATACTGTTATTGTTTACTTCTACTAAAGATCAGTAACCTCCCATCTACAGGCTCCTCTCGCAGAGACCCCCCCCCCCCCACCACCGCCCCCTGCGCACGCCACTTCGCACTATCTATGGCTCTTTATCATCCGCTGCGCGCATGAGCAGTATAAGCTTTCTCATAAGCTCTGCGCTGTACTTACAGTACAGGTTTTCTCGGATCCAGGCACCGGAAGTGGGAAATTCTGAGACCGCAGACCCGCCTAATGCGACTTTAATCGAAGATGGCTCTTATCTCGTTACCAACACGCTTCGCCTAGGTAGGTAAAAGAGCTTGAAAACTGAGTTTTAAGCTTTCCTGCGTTTACTGGAGTGCACTTGCAGAAATTCAGTATCATGCATACATGACTGCTGTCGATTCTTGGGAAAATTCATTTGACATTGCGTCCCCCGAGGTACAAGTAATAGTACAAAACATGTACCAGGTGGACCATCGGGACTACATTTTGCAATTAAGAACTACAATTTCTGGCTAAAATTAAAAACAACGCGCGCACCATTAGCTTTACCTATGCACATAACCTTCCTAATGGATGAGACAGAGAGTATATAGTTCTTAATCGCAAAATGAAGTCCAACTGTAAAGTAAATTATTCGTATAACTTGTTGAGCACCGAAGGCTCAGGTTGACCAAAGTTTTTGGTCCTAGAAACCGAACTTAAGTTCACCTTACTGAAGTTCGGTTCTATAACGGAAAACTTCGGTTATTAAAACCGGAAGAGTTTATTGTTCAATATAAACCGAAATTCAGTCCCATCAACCGATTTTTTTCTCAGAGTGTTATCTTTTTCCCTTCCTTCCTCCACCTCCTCTACTTTTTCCTTCTTTTTCGTTGTCTTCGTCAACCAAATCAAAAGACTTGAGGGTCTGTCAGACTAAGGTGAGGCAACTAACGAAGCTAAAACTACGCATAGCAAGTAACGCAATTAGATGACGATCCCAGGAGAAAGTCAAGCACGAAGATACCTTAAAAATCTCTGATTAAAAGCGCCAAGCCAAGAATAATCGTAAGATGATGTTCGGTTCGGTCAACATTGCCGGAATAGTTTCCTCATTCCATCCACAGCCACACGGCGGCGCGGAGTACGCGGCGATTCCACAGAGGATGGAATCAAATTATTACACCAGATGGTCAGCGCAATTAAGCTCAAAGCTTGGGGGACCGCATCCGAATCTTCGGTCGCAGCATCCATTATTGCGCCTATTCACCAGCTCCTTTCCTGGCTTTAATGCGCTGATTTATTCCCCGAACGACGGTCCCGCGCACTCATTTATTCTCCTTCTTTTTTGTTTCGTTTAGTTCGAAATATTATGTAAACAGAAAATAAATTCGTCTCTCCGAGAATGCTCCAACATAAAGCCAAAGGTCGACGAATCGCGGTTTTAAACTTTTGAGTGGAGGCAGAATTTGGAGTCGTAAAAATTCTGAAAAAATTGTTCCGCTCCCACATGCCAGAGCGCATCGTTGGTCCCCGGACGGAGGAACGTAACTCCATTCCAAGGTTGAAAAATCGACTCAAAAAATTCAATTTTTTGCGAATGTACCCGTGCACTCTTTGGTCAAAATTTCTCTGATTTTTGCATGAGATCGGAGGAAGAATTGGTGAAATTTCAGTTAGGAATGCCCAATTACCCAATATTCTCCTTGTAAAAATTCAAACTGCGTGCTTGGAAATTTGACAACACTGGAACGTAGATACGTTCTTTCGTGAGGGGAACGACGAGATGGGATACGATGGAACTTGCCGTAAAATTGCCCTCGACTTACATTCATCGGTTGACGTAGAAGCGGTAAAATCTAAATACTCTTGAGATGGAGCAAAGAGGATAAAGTAAAAGGTAGTTTGTAAAGGAAGAGTCGTAAAAAAGTGTGAAAGGCTCAACTTTTTCAAGATGCGAGAAAACTTCGTAAAGTTATAAGGCATCGATCTTTGTTAATTTGATATGAACTACGCAAAATCAGAATCCTATTCGTGGAAGGATGTGCAGGTATCTCTAGAGGTAGTTGATACTGAGGTACATTGGTACTTCTGAAGTGTGACGTATTGATTCATATCAGATGCTAATATTGTCTCACTGTATTTTTACTCTTTCTTTCAAATCGTCTTGGAAAAATTCCTACAGTTTTTTACGTTTTAATAGTATCATCGCGGGTGGAGTGTTCGTCGAATCATCAAATATTGTTGTTGTTTTTTTTAAAAGACTATGCAACAGGGTCATCTTTTGCAAAATTAAGAAAAATCCCCCCCCCCCCGACACCACCATCTCCTCTCAACGTCAGGCACTCTTTTACAACTGTCCCTACCTTCGAAGGTGCTCTGAACGGGGTGGGTGGGTATCACAGAAAAGTAATTGAAACCCTTCGGGTAGGAGTCTTGTACTTTACGAGGAGAGGGATGGGTAAGCCAACATTTGCTTGACAGCTGAGGTAATTTTACCTTACTGGTAGTCGCTAAACTATCTTCTATACCCCAAATTGTTACCAATTGTTCCGGGCTCAGAAGCCGAAAGTTCCGGGCGTAGGACACGGAGCAATCTAAGCTACGGCTCCACTACCCGAAACTTCCAGGCTCTGAGTCCAGAATGGACGGTATGTGTTTAATCATTAACTTTTTTTCTCTTTTTCAGTGAAATATTGAAATAAAGTTACGTTTTTTCGTGAAGACAACGATGAAAAAAGGAAAAAACGACCCACATCCAATGAATGATGGATTGACAGTTACCTTGCTTGACCTGAACGGACTGCGGAGCCGGGGTTCCTCCGGCGGGAGAGGCGCCATTGCCGGAGCCGGGGGTGGCGCCCGGCGAGGGTAGTTGGAGAAGGGCCGGACAGGGTGGTGAGACGCTGGAGACGGCGACCAGCTGGGACGAGGGAGTTTCGGGGGTTGGGGAGGACACTGAGGTGGAGCCGACGGAACCGGGGTCGCTGAACCCTTGGGCACTATCCTCCGGGCCGTCGAAGAAACTCAGGTTGAACTCGGATCCCGCGTCGAACGAAACTTCCGCGTTCAACTTATCCGGCGGCGGAGCACTGCCTAGGTTCGCACTCAGCGACTGGTCTATCTTGAACACGTCCATCGTTCACCCATAATCCATTACCATGCGCTAGTCACCCACACTCACGTGTCGAGCAAGAGAGCAGCAAGTACACAAAATCAACACTCCGGAAATGTACTTTTCGGATCAGGACGAAAGAATCTTTCGTTTTTCACAAAATTACTAACATTCAGCGCTTTTCAATATTTAAAGTTTACCTAGACGATGAAAAAAGGGAATTTTTTCTTTGAGTTTCAAGCAGTAAGTACAGCAGTATGTAACACCCTCTACTCTTTTGAGTGATAAGGTATCGACATGAGAGCAAACAGCTTAGGGGCATAGCAGAGCAGTGTGTACAAGAGAATGTTTCCAATGTTTGAACAGGACTCTAATCTATGAGTCCTCCGTTATTCATATAATTATGGTTAGACTTTTAAAATCTTAAAAAATCAGTAAAATTAACCCTTGGGGGACTCTTCGTCATGCAAGATAGCAGTATGCGATACCTCCTGGTTTTCGTGGTCACGTATCGATACAATAACAAGCACTATGATAGCCAGAGGACACTAGAAAGTGACCCAACACAGCAGTATGTTTTGGCCTCATGCAGGACCTGTACGTCAACGCACTGACTGAACTTTTGCATCCCTTCTTGTCTACAAGAAAGACGCAACTTGCCATTGCCACTGCTCTTTTCGGTGAACGGCCACTTATTGTTAAGATGCACTAATTGCTGTCTAACCGGGAATGGCCTACGTATCCACCTACTCCTTCGCGTTTCTTCTTTTCTGCAGAAGAAGCGTATCTCGTTATGTTTTAACTAAGAAAAACCATCACTGCTTTTTTTGGTAAATACCCAGTTCTTTGCAGTACAGTGCGCACTCACAAGGAATTGCAAGGATATGACGGCTACATCTAAAGACGCATCTCATTAGATTTTAACCAATTAACCCACACTGCGTTTTTGGGTAAATGCCCTGCTGCTTGCAGCACAGTGTCCACTCAGTAGGAAATGACGGCTACGTCTAAAGACGTTGTCTTGTTAGATTTTAACCAACAATAAATATAACCATCACTGCTTTTCTTTGGTAAATACCCTGCTCTTCGCAGCTTAGTGCACACTCACAAGGAATTGCAAGGAAACAACGGCTAAATCTAAAAACGCATCCCATTAGCTTTTAACCAACAAACTAAACCATCACTGCTTTTTTTGGTAAATGTCCCGCTCTTCGCAGCACAGTGTCCACTCACAAGGAAATGGCGGCTACATCTAAAGACGTTATATTGTCAGATGTTAACCAACAAATGTAACCATCACTACTTTCTTTTGGTAAATGCCCTGCTCTTTGCAGCACAGTGCACACTCACTAGGAAATGACGGCTACATCTAAAGACGTTATCTCGTTAGCTTTTAACCAACAAATGTAACCATCACTGCTCTTTTTTGGTAAATATCCTGCTCTTTGCAGCACAGTGCACTAAATACCCTGCTCTTCGCAGCACAGTGCACATGCACACTCACAAGGGATTAACGGCCACAATGCTACATCTCCGCACTAACTGCTCTCTTGCTGATAATTTTTTTTTTTATTTTTAGATTCTACGGAACAAATTCGGCGGTTACGGTGTTTGGCGGTAGCTCGGCTCCGGGCACAAGGGGCTCGGTTACGCGCACTGCACTTGGGTATCCGGGCACGGAAGCGAACTGCACCGACTACGACCGAGGCCACGTGTTTCCATGGCGCTTCTTCGGACGTGCACGTGGTTAACGCCGGCCCACGAAAGCACGAATGCCGCGGCTTCCCGGCCGGGGCCCGGTCACTGACCGTCGATCCTCCGGTCCCCGCTCCTGGTGGGGGTAACGTCGCCCTCCTCCCCTTCCAACTTCTCACTTCTTCGTCCCCCATCTTCTGCCTGATTGTGAGCCTCCACTTCCTGGTCTTCCACTCTCCGCCGTTTCTTCCCTTTCGTTGGCCGCTGCTCTTACGACCGAGCACTCTTCCATTCGTGCGCTCTTGCAGTCTTACATCATCGCTCCTCATCTTCTTTCGCTTTTCGCCACTTTGTCTCCCCCCCCCCCCCCACTTCCTGCTTGTTTTCCCCTTTCTCGGAGACCATTATCGTTACCAGCTCCTCGCCGGTACCTACGCACAGTGGACCGAATCGATGGGAGAGGTCGGACACAATTTGGAAACTTTAAAAGCTTATAACTCCGTTTGTAACAAACTTTGAGGTTCTGAAAGCGGTTCTGTTGGTTTTCCCGTGATATTTTCTTCTAGAATCACCCATTGAAATTTAAAATTTTACGAAATAAACTTCAAATTTCGCAGTTTTAGTCAAACATTTCGAATGCGGCCTCTCCGATTGACTCGATCCACTGTGCTCCGTGGCCGCGTCGTCGTTGCACTACGGTCTAGGACCTGAATGTGGCGCGATCGAAGTTGCTGAATGGTTTGCACGCAAGACGATCCGTGGTGTTGATCGCGAGGGGGGGGGGCTGAAGATCTGGGCCCCCTCCCCCCCGTGACCCGAAAATGTTCTCGAATGTTATGGATGGCCGTCTTGCTTGTCTACACGTCCACCTCCCCCCCCTTTATCAGGCACATGCCAACTTACTCTTATCCCTAGGCCCTGCGGGCTGATTGTTGAATCAATAGTCAAAGCGATAGATGGAGAAAATTGAGCCATCCTATTGTTTGACAAGGGTGGTTGTTGTATACCAACGGGATTGAATGATGGACTAATTATAAGGTCTCTCGTGGGTTGCCGTCAGTTAGTCTCTTACTCCATGATACATTTTAACTACCCACTTCTACCACTAGGATCGCTCAATTCTGTCTGTTTTTTCTATAGCTTTGTTTCAATAATCAGCCCGCTTCTATTCTGGCGATGGTGGAACTTTTATTTTCAGGAATCCAATATCTCTTTAATATGGCAGCAAAAGGATGACCAATAGGACCGCCCTATTTTCTTTTTTCACCTTCGTCCTTCGCTTTGTCTATCAAATTCTATAATCACCCCGTGGCGCCGCACAAAGAACGAGCCATCGAGAAAAGTCAAACATACAATTTTTGACTAAACCTGCTTTAGATGCTGAATCCCTCATAATTTAAGGCATGTTTCTTGAAGAAAATTATGAAAGAAAATCAATGAAATCGCTTTTAAATCTCTACCTCTCGTAATAACGCAAAGACAAGCTTTTTAAAGTTTCCGCATTTCGTCCAACCACTTCCGTTAACTCGCTCCACCGTGCGCCGCGTCATCGTGTCTTCTAGTTCGCCGCCGCCAGCCAGTGCATCGCGGCGATTTTACACGTCCGAATCTTGGACGTCTACACCGGCCGCCACCTTTGCTCTAACTGTAAAACTATTTTCCGCGAGCCGCCAATCAAACCGCGATCCGCGATTGTCACCTGTTACATGTCCGCGCCCCCCTTCCAACCTTCCTCCATCTTGCCGCTCCCCCCTGCCGTGTCAGTGACGGCGATTATAGTGCCAATTCTAGATTCACACCGACTGACGGCATCAGTCATTCACGATACTTAACCTCACTGACATCCGTCTGCGGTTTGCAGATATTCTGCCAACTGAGCATACTGCCATGCTAAGGAAGAATACCGTGTGAGCCCTCAGGCGTTGCCAAATTTCCGCTAGCAAATCACTAATTTTCCGGACAATTTTTGAATATTTTCCCGCCAATTTCTCAGATAATTTTGTTTGTAATATGATCTAAAGTGTCTGAAAATTTCAAGGAAATATATTCATCATTTTCCTCAAAAATAAACATCTTATCCAAAGAAATTTGGCAACTCTTGAATGTTCATACGGTGTTTTTCCTTAGCACAGCAGCATGGACATCAGTCTAAAGGGACTTTCAGAATTAGTCATCTTAGAGTACTCATAGACGGAGACTGTTGCATGCCTGTGCTGCTATCTGATTCGTTCATTAGTTTTAGGATCTCAATGGGGCTCTTAATGACCAAGGAAAGGATTTAGATTATCGAGGGACCATCGCCAAAATTTAGGGTGCAAGAGCAAATAAAACCGTATATTCTACCATTCGCAATCGTTTGCATGTAACGTACTTTTCACTCTGCCTACATGCTCCTTGAAGTCAAAGAAGGCTGAGTCTATCAAAAAACGATTTTTTGTTGGAACGCAAGGAGGAAGAAAAATAATCTAGTCCCTAGATGAGCCCGCTCTATTTAAATTAACTCACAGGAGGTCCGCGGAGCGGACCCTAGATAAGAGGGCGGGAAGCGCTTCTACACAGTTTAACATTTCCGTGTTTATGGTTACTTAGGGTTACTTTAAGTTACTTTATTTCGGCCAGATGAACTAAAGGACATGGTTGATGAACCAAATGTTTTGTTAAATCGCCCGAAACTGTAGGTTACTCTGATTGTGAGACATCTTGATAGTCGATTATTTCAAAATTCATAGAAAACGCCAAAATTATTTCTAACAGGTGACTTCCCAAGTTCTCACATTAACACAAAATGCCAGTTACTTTTCCTTACCGCGTAGGTGTTGGGCCGCGTAGCGGCCAGGGGGCTAACCCCCTAGTTCTACTTCGAGATACTCGCTATTAAGGCTGACTAAGGCTAACGGATCGGAGTCGGTGGTAAATTCAAAATTGGCGAGGTGCTGGGCTGCACGAGCGCGGCTCGGACGGGCCGGGGCTGGGAGCCGGGGGCCGCGCTCCTGGGCGCGCTCGAGAATTTATCGATTAGCCGGGACAATTTATCAGGGGAAATAGCTCTCTCAAAGTCTACTGTATACATAATTTTACATCTTAAATGAAGCCAAGTGAGATAACGTCCCGGGCCGGGTGCCGGGTGCCGGGCCCGGGAGGAGCGGCAGGAGCGGGCGTCGCACATCGGGTCGAGTCAATTAGAGAAGTCGGACAAAATTTGGAAACTTTAAAAGCTTTTAAATCCGTTTATACAAAACTTTAAGGTTCTGAAAGTGGTCCCATTGGTTTCCTCGTGAAATTTTCTTTCTAATGCACACCTTGAAATTGGAAATGTGACGACATAAACATCGAAATTTCAAATTTTAGTAAAACATTTTTTGTCCGACCTCTCTGATTGACTCGATCCACTGTGCGTCGTAGCATCCACGGCTCCCTCGCTTCCACTCGCAACTCGCGGTCCCTGCTCGCGCCAGCAAGAGACGCCGTGCGAGGATTTTAATTCAACGCTCCCGTAAGGGACTCTTTTGGCTCTAATATCTCTCAAGAATGCGTTAAAAAAGTTCTTACGTGGCGAAGTTTGTATCATCGCTTAAAGGCCTCATCTGTAGAGATTCTCCCCGCAAAAATTCAATTTGCTTGTGAGAATCCGAATTTCACACAAGAAAATCATCGAATTCGTGTGAAGCGGCAGGTACAGCTGCGAGTTAGAAGCACTCGTTGAAAGTGAAAGACCAATAGGGACCAGACTTTCGATCGCTCGACGTCGTGCTGTCGATATTCTCCTTGCCTATAGGTCTTCCACTTTCAACAAGCGCTTGTAACTCGCAGGTGTATCTAGGCCTGAAATAAGTTCATCTTTTTTTGAAAAAAAGAAGGAAACGAGCTTTTGTGCGCATCATTGGTGTCATGGTATCCGTATGATAAGGGAACACTGACCTGGTAAAAATTGGCAGTAGAATCTGTTTTCCAAAATACCATAGACCTACAGCCGGCTGTAAGATTTCCAATAACTTCTATAGCCGGCTACACAATTTCTTATAGCCTTTTATAGCCGATGGCGATTAAGCAACAGCCAGGCGATAAAGTGTATGCTAAACGTTACTAATTACGGATTCTAGGACCTAGTGAGTTTTCGGACTACTGCTCTCTTTTTGGGCCGTAGTATCTTGATTTATTTTGCGAGGAATGCTCCGTACTTTTGATGGATGCCTGCCATTCTTAATATATTAGAGCGCCTCCAGTTTCGTATGATACTGTGCAATACCTCTGGTGTGAAATAGTTGCTTCAAGCGCCGTGGCACGCTGCAGTGCGGCAGGCGGGCAGCTAGCGCGAAACGCGCTTTGGCGCCTACAAACCTAACAGGGATACTTCACGCGTTGCGCAATGCGTGAAGTATCCCTGTTAGGTTTGTAGGCGCCAGTGCGTCGCCGCTCCGCTTTGTGTTAGGCTCTAATATTTTATCTGGCGGAGTCTGCGTTATTCAACTCATGATTTTGAAATGTTTGCACATCCTGTATGGATTGTTCTCATTTTGATTGATAAAAAAAAAATATGTATTAAAGGAAAATATAATGTGTGTTTTGTAAATATTAAGGTGGTTCCGTATCAAACTTAATGCTTTCCAAAGCACACGAATTTATACACAATTTCTTATAGCCTATTATAATCGATGGCGATAAAGCAAGAGCCGGGCGATAAAGTGTAAAGCCCGGCGATAGGAACTATAGCCCGGCTGCATAATTTTTTATCGCTCCGTATGATTCCGTATGATCGCTCCGTGTCGCCCGGCCGTATGATTTTCTCCGCATTCTACAGCCAGCTATATGATTTTCTGTAGCCTTCTTTAGCCGGCTATAAGAATTCCTATGGTATTTTGAAACGCAGCTCTTATCGCCAATTTTTACTAGGGTGGAAAAAAAAACACATTGGATCTAGAGTCCAGACTCTTAAAAACATCGACAAGAAAAAATACTCTTGATTCAATCAGATTGAAGCTTAAATCAAGAACCAAGCCTCTTAATTTGAGCGGATTTCCTTTTGATTTAAGCTTAAATCTGATTGAATCAAGAGTATTTTTTCTTGTCAATGTTTCAAGAGTCTGGACTCTAGATCCAATGTGTTTTTTTTCCAGTGAGTTTCATTA